AAAATAATAGTCGTTCTCAAGACTTTACATTTTAAGCAATAACTCAACAACGCCGTAACCGAATTTCAAAAACCAAACATGAAATGATATCAGAATTTAACGTAGCATCTGAATATGTAATGATATACAGGGCGTTCTACTATTAGATAGTCGACGTTTCGCCATCATCTCAGATGGCATTATCAAGACGAGTTACTGCTTCGCTTCGAGAGGTGTAACATTTCGTGCAATTCAATATTCATGTGGAAGTAGTGGTTTCGGAAAGACTTTTTCTTTCGGTTAGTAGATGAAACTTCTATGCAGGATCTACAAGTCTTTGTGAAGATTATATTTTGAACTGAATTGCTTTCCTTCTCCATTCGAAACTCCTCCAAATTTTCTGAAAAAAACTGGAGAGCCAAAAAGTGTTTTCATACAAAAATCTATTTTTGAGATATGTGTCCTTCAAAACGTATATATCTCCACCCGACACCGTCATTAAACTGATTTGGATTTTTGTCTATGCCAAATTTTGTTTGTCGTTCTCAGGAAGACATGAAAAATGTGTAGATCATACAGGTATGTCCAAGATACAATTACAAACAGTTTCATTCAGATACAACTTATTTGAAATGGATTAAAAAATGTGTTTTACTCACAGGAACTTTTGTCAAGTCGCTTATTCTTTCTTCTATACTCCTACCCTTTTTTGGTCTGATAATCATATAAATATTTTTCAAATCCGGACAAGATCTCAGCAATTTCTCAATCAGCACTCTACCTATGAAACCACTTCCACCTGTGATGAAAATATTTTTCCCTCGGAAAAATTCAGGAATCGATATGTCACCATTCAACCGTGGATGAGACATTGTGCTATTTGCAACGTTTTGCCCATGAACTGATTGGAAGTGAACGAAATACCTGATAATAATAATAGTCGTAGTTCATATGATTTTCTAATTGACTTGAATAACGAACAATGGTCAATCACTTTCGGAAAATATAACCCCAGAAACCTTGTTTGCAAATTGATGCATTGATATCATCATGACAATACCGTATTGAACAATGACAAATATGAATTAATATTTTTTGAATAAGACTAATAACTCACAAACGAGTCAACAAATCAGATGGTAGATGCTGGTCCCACCCGGCATCTCCCGGTGAAATACCATCGCAACGGCTTCAATGGTGAGAATATAAGAAGAAATGCATGATGGTGCTCCCGAATCGGTTCTCAGGGTGGGGGCTGATTCAAGGGCATCATTCTGCAGAAGTTATTCGAAAACCACTATTCTTGACAGTCAGCAGGGTCTTCCTGACATCAGTAAGGAAACGACATGGTTACTGTAGTTGCTAAAAGGCCCACTAACAACTTTAAAATCGATTTCTGCTTCATCAGAGGACTCAACTATTTACAGACTTACAGC